ATATCATATGAAACAATACAATTAAGATAAAAGTTTATGGTTATCATAATATATATATATATATATATATATAATTTTTATTTACTTTAGGCCCATTATGTATATATATTGAATAATATGTATTATATTAACTAATCTTTTATATAATAACTAGAAGGGTACTCGTACAATGCAGCAAGATAAATCTTCATTTTAATGTTTAGTTTTTATTCTCCATTTCTATTGATATAATACGATTTTATGTGGTTTTGAGAAATCGATATTTTTTTATTTTTGAATTAAATATAAATTTGAAAAAAAAATCGATATTAGTATCAAATTAACTATTTAATAGTTTTCGTTTTTTTGGTGTAACTTCTTTAATTAAATTTTTTATTATAATTTAATTTAGGTCTAATAACAAAGTAATTTATTTTTGGTTTAATAATATAATTTTTTATAAAGATAATAATTAAATATTATGTTAGAACTCAATGATTATCTTATTTATATTTTAGATTTTCTATATTTAAAATAGAAGTTTATCCTGTATTTGATTATATTTATCTGCAGTTAGTTACACGAATTTAAAATGAAGCTTTAATAAGTTGTACTTCCGCAAAATTATTTGTAATCTTGAATTTTAAGTAATATGCATTAATAAACAGGCATTCATGTATAAAAAGTGGTTTTTAAGAGTTTTTATCAAATGTTTTATAATATAGTATAAATAAATAAATATGTTTAATATACTATTATTATTTTGTTGTTGATATGATATATAAGGTGTGATAATAATTTCTTAATAAAAAATTAACTTGAGTGATTGTATATGTCATGTGATCATTTTTTGATAACGTAACGGATTGAATTTATGATAAATTTTGTAGAAATCATTTATTAAAATAGTCTTGTTTTTCAGTTATGATTTTTAAAAACTATTTTTTATTCATGAAATATTGCTTATTGATGCATATAAAATTCAAGATTACAACTAAATTATGTATAAGTACAACTTATTAAGTTTCATATTGGAATTCGCGTAACTAACTGTAGATAAATATAATCAAATACAATATAAAATTCTTATTTTAAATATATCTAAAATATAATTAGGATAATTATTGAGTTCTAACAAAATACTTAGTTATTATCTTTATAAAAATTATATTATTAAACCAAAAATAAATTACTTCGTTATTAAACTTAAATTAAATTATAATAAAAAAAAACTGAATTAAAGAAACTATACAAAAAAAAATGAATTAAAGAAAATCATTTTTAATTTTTTATAATATCTTCAAATATATATTTTATTAAGAAAAACATTATTGTTTGCTCAAAACCACATAAATTCGTATTATAACATCGACATAAACCAAAAAAATAAAATAAAATATTAAAATCGAGATATATCTCGCTGTATTGCGCAAGTACCTTTCTAGTTAAATATAATATATTTGTATCATTTTTATCGTCCCTCTTCTAAACTAATAATACTTTTGGCCACTATATTATAACTCAATAATTATCTTAATTATATTTTAGATATTTTACTGTATTATGCAAATACCTTTCTAGTTAAATATAATATATTTGTATCATTTCTGCTTGGAATTGTAATGAATAATCTAACTGAAAATCTTTAATTTTATACTTGATCGAAAGTTGCTTTGTCATTTAAGAAATTATCAAGGTAGTAATTAATAACAGTTTAACTTTAAATTGTTTGAGTTTTCATCTTGTTTGGCAAAAAAACAGTTTGTTTTTTAATGATTTTAAAACCTTCTGAATGATTTTGTATCTTGGTCTCTCTTAACCATTTAGCGTCATAATTTCATTATGAATAATAACCAAACAATTATATTTCATTTTACACTATATCATAAGAGTCTCTTAAATCATTCTGACCACTTATTTATTTTGCATCAAACCATTTAACAACTGTCAAACAGTACTTGACAATCTACTTTTGAAACGAAAATATTACTCAATATGATACTACACTACAACAAAATTGGGTTTATAGGACATCCTCAATCTCTAAGTGTTTCAATAAACCACTTTATATGACTTAATTTATAGGACCAAAATATAACGCGTATTATATAAAGGCGTTGTAATAAGTTTATATGACGCTTTTGAACGTCTTAACAAGTTGTTAAGAACATTTTTAATACAAAGTGTGGCATTAGCAACTTCATAGGATACTTTTGAGAAATTGTTCTATAAACTTAATTTTTTATAGGACACTTGTTTTTATAGAATATTTTTTTCAAATAATGTTCTATAAAGTTGATAATGAGACACTTTATATTAAAAGTGTTCTAGAAAACTTATTGCGACATCAAAAAAATATCATATAAACTTAATACAACATCATTAGATAAGACATTTTACTTTTTTTGATCCTACAAACTAAGTCCTATAAAAAAATATATTATGACATTTAAAATTTAAGAGTGTTCTATAAACCCAATTTTATTGAAAAGGTAATTAGCTGATAAAAAGTTGTAATTGACGGTCAAAATAGTCAACACACTTTTAGGTTAAAGTAGTATGATTCAAGAAATCTTGTTATCGTGAATGATTTACACGTGGCTAGAAGACGACAAGGAGATCGAATATGAAAGTAAAAAGAAAAGGAAGAGATGACGCAAAAACCGTGACTCCTTCCGAAATCCAATCTCAATCCCTTTTCAGTCTCCATGGGCCATATCTTCTCCTTCATAAAACAAGCCCTAATTCTCTCTCTCTCTCTTCATTAATTAATCATCTACTTCCCCAAAAAAGCCCTAATTTTCTCTCTCTAAACAACAGTTCTTCATATTTTCTATTCACCTTCAACTCATCTCTCTCTCTCTCTCTATCACACACAATCTTGATCTCCAGGTCGAAAAAGGGAGGTTCTTCTCTCTCTCTCTCTCTCTCTCTCTCATTGATCCTCATTAAGCATCTAGCTAGATTCTTACAGATTTAAGGTGTAGAGGGTGTTTGAAACGATAGAGAAAAGATGGCTCCAGAAGAGGGTGGTGCCATCTCCGAAGTAAGGAACACAACAGGTGGTAGTAGTGGTGGAGGAAAAGAATTGAAGAAAGGGCCATGGACGGCAGCAGAGGATGCAGTGCTGGTGGAGTTTGTGGGAAAACATGGAGAAGGGAATTGGAACAATCTTCGAAGGAAGGCTGGTTTGATGAGATGTGGCAAAAGTTGTAGGCTTAGGTGGGTTAACCATTTAAGGTCTAATCTCAAGAAAGGATCTTTTACACCTCAAGAAGAATCCAAGATCATAAGCCTTCATGCTAAATTTGGCAACAGATGGTCCATTCTTGCTCTTCATGTACACATACATCTCTCTCTCTCTCTCTCTCTATATATATATATATATGTATGTATGTATGTTTTCTTGGTAAATATATTACCAAAATGGTCTAGTGTTGGGTATGTATCTAGTTATGATCATGACTTGATTAATTGTTTCTTTGCTTTATATATTGTTCAAAGATTGACACCAAAAGTTTCACGTTTTCCATACGGTTTCATTTGTCATTTAGGTTTCTATCATCGTTACGAATACATTTTGAACTTGCTTAATTTGTATAACCATGAGTTTCAGATCAATTTGTATGTATCTTCGGTAATTTGATGAGGCTTTGTAATGGTTGTAGGAAGCCTCTAGTTGTGCACTCTGAAGGGACTTGAACAAAACCTCCATTGATCGACCCTAAAGATTCTTTGTATTTGTCTTTAAGTTAAAGGGTATTTATTTAAACAGTGTTAAAGGAAAAAAGCGCACATCTTGCCTTCTTTTGTAGATGGTATTTTACATATTTGACAACAAAACGTAATCACAATCCTTTTAAGTCGTTGTATGGTGGAACTTTTTAATTGTTATGGAACATGAATAGAGAGTACAAGTTTTGGTTTTCCATTTGCAATTGTTTCTCTTTTTATCGTGTTTTGATTTAGGGTTTTTCTATTCACAACTAAGGAGTGTTTATTTATGACAGCTTCCAGGACGTACCGATAACGAGATAAAGAACTTCTGGAACACTAGACTAAAAAGACATATTCGTCTGGATTTACCTATTTACCCTCCTGAAGTTATACGAGAGCACGTGCATCTACGTCACCATCATCAACAACCGGAACAACATTTAAGAAACCAAATGCAACGTTCTTCATCACCATCAACATCATCGTTGTCGTCTTTACATCAACCTTCTTCATCTTCTTCACATATGGAAAAGCCTAATTTTAGTTTGATCCCTTCTTCATCATCTTCTTCACATATGGAAAACCCTAAGTTCAAGTTGATCCCCTCTTCATCATCTTCTTCACATATGGAAAACCCTAATCTCAGTTCCTTCCCATCTTCTACGCATATGGAAAACCCTAATTTCACTTTCATCCCCTTTTCTTCATCATCTTCGCATATGGAAAACCCTAATTTCAATTTCATCCCCTCTTCATCATCATCTTCGCATATGGAAATCCCTAATTTCAATTTCATCCCCACTTCATCATCTTCTTCTTATATGAAAAACCTTGATTTCAGTTTCATAACGTCTACATCATCATCATCTCCACCTCAAGCAAATCTTGAATTCAGATCGATTCCTTCTTCTTCTTCATCCTCACATGATCAAACAAATCATGAGTTTAATCACTTCCCTACTTTGTCATTGATCGACCCAATTACGAGTGACCAACTTCTAAGAGCTTTATATCACCCTGATTCCATGTCTGAGTTCAATCATCATAGTGAAAACGATGGTGGAGCCTCCTTGTTGCCATTACCCTCTCAAAACCTACATCTTTCGAGCTCGTCTATGCCTCTCTTCGATCAAAGCCAGCTCGCACCATATGGCATGAATCCAATGAATGCAACTTTTAGTAATGTTTTCTTTTATGAAAACTTTGATATGGAGATCCCTTCAATCCAATCATCCTTTCAAGCAATCACACCAACTTCTTCCTCGACCAACGAGAATGATCACATCATGGTGCCATCAAATGGTGAAGAAGACAACTACAATGTAGCTCCAAAATTATGCTCAGAGAGAAATAATGGATTGTTGCAAGATGTTGCGGGACAATCTAGAGTTTTGTTAAGGTCTCGACTACCTTCTAAGGAAGACAAACAAACAAAAGATGATCAATCTGAATTCGAAGGAAGAATCATGCACGATAACGTGATTTCCATGATGAACGTCCCTGACAATACTGTGAATTTGGATTCAGTTCTTGGATCAAGTCATAATGGTAAGACACATGTGGATGACTCGAGTTCTGGCTTCTCGTCAATTGGTAAGTTTCTCATTTCAGAAAACTATTAATTCTTGATGAATAGTTAATGGTCATTTACTTATTTATGATCACATTTTTCCTCACATTGGTTAATTGGTTTTAGATGTGGGGGTTACATCACAAGCTCATGTGTTCGAGGACTTAAACATGATGGACGATGATTTCTTCAGTTGGATAGACTTCCAACCAACTGGACCTCCTCAAGAACTAAATTAGGGAAGTGATGATGCATCTACCAAACTAGCCATTAATGCTTTCATTGGCACCGTGGCTACATCCACAAAGAACTTGCACGATGAACTTGCAACTACCCCATCTGATCAGGCAGACCATGATTACGCTACAAAAAAAAGCTGATTGTGACCATCCTAGTCGAGATAGGCCATGGCTGGCAAAGAGGCTCTTGCTATTGGAACAACATGTCGCCTAGCTTTAGCTAGAAAAGATAATATAGCGTTTTTATGGGCTAATTATTGTCTAAATGGTCTATATTCGTTGTTTAATTGGCCCATTTTAGGATGTTTTAGTTCGCGTTAATTAGTTAGTGTTTTGTAATTAAGCCATTTATATAGAGGATGCTAGCTAGCTCTCCTATCTAAACGGTCAGACTTAACTTAATTTGTATGTGATTAGGGTCCGTAATCCAATTAATTTATGTGTGTTCATCCAGTCAATTATAAGCCTATCCTAAAACGATATATGGGTATTAGATATTTCTAGCTATTTAAGAACTTTGGTCACTTTGTGTTTAATACCTAGTCTCTTGTTAATTTGCCAACTTCAATTCATATTATCAACCATGATAATTAGGGTTCCAAAATACCTAATCAATCCGCCCTTTGTTTCTCATCACAACTTCTAATTAATCAATAATCACACTGGATGTCGTCTTTAAATATAGAAAAAATCGTTACCTCCTTGATCAAATGTAGTTTTCCTGACCATGATCTTTAAAAACCGAAAACATACGAGTTCTATGATTATCTTGTGATTCACATTTACCGTCACCATGATTTTAATTTGGATGTTCTTTTATTCGAGTTTCCATTGTCGCATTCAAGAAACTTTACCCTTGAGAATATACGTGTTTCATTGCATTTTTGTAACTTCTACATGTACTCGATCAAACTGAGCAACAACAAAAAATATTTTCTAGATAATTACTCTCCGAACTCTACTTTTTAATGATGGTTTATATCTCAAACTCATAAACTCGTAACTGAAGTTGAAAAAAGCCAATGATATCGTCACTCAAGATTGTACGTACAAATGTTTCTAGACAATCGAATCCGTATGTAAATTGTCATAATTGCAAAGTTTTCGTCGTTTTCCGAGAAGGAAAAGAGAAGAAATAGGAACTTCAGTAACTAGTTACTTTTGGGACCGTTTTCAAAAAGGCTTGACCCAAGAACTAGTTATAGTCGAAACCCATGCTGGTCCTAACTTTTGAACCAAAGATTAGTCCTTAACCATTAAAAAAAAGACCCAGTTAAAGTTTGAAAACTGGTTCTTAGAAAAATAATATAAACAACTATTGGATTGTTGGTTAGGGGATTAATCATTTGAAAACTTTAAAATTTGAAAGATTCGTGAGAATTTATACCTTAAAGTTTTGATTTATATAATTTTTTTTATCCAAGTATAGTAGTTAATATATTGATTAACATATATTTTTGTTTCATGATATGTTATTCGGTTCACAATCTGAAACTTTTGTACGTGTATTTTTTGTTTCACAAACACATCAAAAGTCCGTCATTATGACACAAACACATTGTTAAATAAATGTATGTTAACTAATACATTAAATTCTAGTCATAAACAGAAAATATATTATATAAAATAGCATACGATACTTTTTTTTTTAAATCTCACGATTTAAATAGTGTCTAAAAGAAATCCCCTCTTGATTGTATATAAATTTATTAGATAAAACTCGAATTAAATAATAATATGAACATAATTTAATTAAAAATAACTGACAGATTTTAACGGCTAATTTTTTTAAATAACAATTATAGAAAAATAGTAATTTTGGGGGATATTAATTTAGGAAAACATCTGGAATAGATAATAACGAAAAATTAAAGTATAATATTGAGATAAATACTGGACTGCTCGAAATAAACAAAAAAAAAATATAATATTTTATAAAACTAAAATAATAAAATAAAAATGATTAATTAATTAATTCTTTGCCAATTAAATTATTTTGATTCTTATTAATTTTATTAATCTATACTATATTATAAAATATTTGACAAAAACTCTTAAAATTTATTTTTTATACATGAAGTACTGTTTATTGATTCATATTACTTAAAATTCAATATTACAACTAATTTTGCATAAATACAACTTATTAAAGCTGTATTTTTTAATTTGTGTAACTAACTACAGATAAACATAATCAAATACAAGATAAACATCCATTTTAAATATAGAAAATCTAAAATATAATTCAGATAATTATTGAGTTTAACAAAATGTTTAATTATTATCTTTATAAAAAATTATATTATTAAACTAAAAATAAATTACACTTTGTTAATAAATTATAATAAAAAATTAAATTAAATAAATTACACAAAAAAAAAGAATTATTAAATAGTTAATTTGATACGAATATCGATTTATTTATTTTCAAATTTTTATGATATTTTCAAATTTGTATTTCATTCAAAAATAAAAACATTATCGCTTTCTCATAACCATATAAAATCGTATCATATCGATAGAGACAAATAATAAAAACTAAACATTAAAATTGAAATTTATCTCGCTGTATTACACGAATACCCTTCCAGTATTAAATTAAATGGACAAGCGTAAAAAAATTTGGAGCATATTTAACATTTAGCATATAATATCATATTGGGATTAAGATATACGTTAACATAATTAATTAACAATTAATAATTGGTATATTACAAAAATTAATGATTTTTGGAAATATAATTAATTGCTGATTTTTAGAAAGTATTTAAATAATTATTTTTTAGGAAACAACAATATGACGTTTTAAAAAGTATAATAAATTGGTCAAATAATGTATAATAAATTAATGCAAAAAGTTTAAAAAAATCATTAAACTTTTTCATTTTAAATAATTTAATCTCTATACTATTTTTTTTAATAAAAAACCATTTCCATAAACTATTTTTTTGAACAAAAAAAATTGAATGATTAAGACCCTGAGTTTAAAAAAATAAAATAAATAAATAATCGAACTTTTATTAGCCGGTTAATGTAACTTTTTGTGTTAAAATGATGTAAGTAATCAATTTTTAAAAATGTGATGGTTTATTTATTGATAAAATGTTTAGGAACTTCGTCAATCAAAATGAAAAGTTTAATGATCTTTTCATTCAAATAGAAAAAAAAAATGGTTTTTTTTATTCAAAACAATAGTTCAGGTAATTAATCATTCAAAATAAGAAAGTTTAATGATTTTTTTCATTTAAAAAAATAATTTAACAACTAAAATTAAAAATGGAATAATTTGTTGGATTTTTTTAAAATTTTCCCTAAATTAATATAAAAAAAGTAACAATAACATAAATAAAAGTACAATATTGAAAATAAATATTAGAGTAGATTACAAATTTGGTCCAAATAGTTTGTCAAAAATAAAAAATTCCGTCTCCTGACCATCGTAATTTATAAAAACGTCCGAATTTGATCTCTTTCTCTAACGGCTATTAAAAAATCGTTAAATAATAGGCATTTTTGTCATTTTATCATTTTTTTTTCTTTTACCCAATTAAAAATCACATAGACCAAAATCATAAAATCGATTTTAGTCTGAACATATTCACAAACCATGAATACTATCTTGTAATTTCGAAATTACAATGAAAAAGTGTTATTTCTTACAAAACACGAGAACCAAATTGTAGTTTGGAAAACAACTTAATGGGCTCTTTAGCTTATTCGATCAGCCGCTTTACGGTGTTTGAAAGTGGCTTAATGATTTAAGACGAGCTTACCAAATAAGTTTTGAGAGGGCACCCTTCTACATACATACACCATATGTCCCACCATACCACTTTGGAAATCACGAGATATGTAAAAACCTAACGTCATCGGTTTCCACTGAAAAACAGACCTCTCTGATCCACCTCGTTGTCGCCTGCCCCCTCCTCCCTTCTCCGTTGACAAGCCCATGTTTTCTTCCTTCCTATCTTGGCCTAGGTTTGAGAGGTAAATCGAAAGGGATGGATTTCGTAATTGTTAATTTTGTGACGTGTTCGAGAGAAAATCGATGATGGATCGAGTGATTTTTTTGAAGGTTCTACAATGGTCGGATTTAGAATTGAATTTTATTGAAATTTGCTCAATGCTTCTAGAGAGGATGATGCAAAAGTAAACCGGAAGGAACTTTAGATTCAGAATTTGTATCATCAATCTTTCATAACCATTAAGAGCCTTAATTTCATTGTATACAATTATCAAACAATTATATTTCATTTTGCATTATATCATTAGAGCCTCTTAATCATTCTAACCACTTAATCATTATGTACCAAATCATTCAGCAAATGTCAAACAGTCCCTAACTCTTTACCAGTTAAATTATTTATAATTTTATTAATATTAAATTAATGGGACCACCTACAAATTTCCATTGTATACATATTACATCATGACCTCCTTTCATTCTCCCGCGCTCCTCCTCCATTAAATCCCGCCTCTCTCTCTCTCTCTCTCTCTCTCTCTCTCCTGCAGTTCCTTCTCCTCCATTTGCCGCCATGAACCGCCGCATCAGAAAGGAATCTACCACCAAGAAGTCCGATGATGGCTACCTCCGCTACCTAAAGCCTGGCGCTCTTGCGCAACTGCGAGATTCCAAAATCAACGCCAGATCTCACCATCGGTCATCCGGTTCTCAGATCTATCTCCGTCTTGCTGTATCACCCTCACCTACTTCTTCACCATCTCGTTCTCCCAGCCCTACCGTCGCCGGCGTGCCACAACAGCAAGATGTCGGTGGCGTCACCATCATCGATGTCGGCTTCCCTTACTTTTCCCGAAGCTTTTGCGGACCTCGTTTTCCGCAGAGGAAGAAGCTAATGGCTGCTAAATCGATGTTATCCTTGAACGCTAATCCTAACGGTACGACAGCGGATGGTCCTCAATCGGTTATTGATGTTTTCAGTTCTGACTTCCTTGTTGCACATTAATTTGAAGTGGTCGTTTAATTACATCAGTCTACCAAAAACATTTGCATTTCATTCTTTCAATTTTGCAAACAGATTTCCTAATTTAGATATGCATGCATCCGGCGTTGAGCCGATCTTGTTCTTCCATGGATTACTTGCAGTCATGTTAGGCCTAGAAGGCTAGAACAGCATCAATAAAACCATTAATTGTTCAAATTAATTTTGCTTGTTAGTAAGTAGTTTTTGTTTTCGGATCTCTGTTAAAGTTCTTTCAATTATGATCTTGCTTCTATTTGTTGTAAAATGGAATGCTCTGATAGATTTTCCAAAATCATGTTGGAAATGGAGAAAGTGTAGAGAGAAGATAACATTTGTTTGATTTCCAATAAAATAAATTCAGATGGCAATTAAAATTTGGGAAATCGATTAAAATAAATGATTTGTTTACCTCTTAATAGTTTCATTAAGAGGTAAACTTTGAATCGTTAAGGGGTGAATTTGTTTGGCAAAAAAAAATCTGTTTCTTAATGGTTCTAAAACCCTCTGAAGGATTTTGTATCATGGATCTCCTTTAATCATTAAGTTCACTAATTTCATTGTGAACAATTACCAAACATTATATTTTATTTTGTATTATATAATGAGTCTCTTAATCATTCTGACCAATTGATTGTTCTGTATCAAACCATTCAGTAGTTGCCAAACGATCTCTTACGTTATTAAAAGTATTAAATATGATAATAGTACAATTTTATAGATTTTGAATTCATTAAATCTTTTAGTATTAGTTAATGTTAGAAATTTTCTCATCAAATTACATTGAATATTAAGATTTATCTTTTACATTTTCAATTTATAAATTTAAGATAATTTTGATATTATAGGTGTTTTAACTTCTATTTTTTATCTTAAACAAATCATATCAATTTTTTTTTGAAAAACAATCATATGTTTAAAGCATTTTTAATAAAAAAACAAATTGAATGAAAAAGTAACATACTTTAATTTGATTCTTATCTTGGGTAACGTATTTTTAAAATTTTTATTTTGGTATTTAATATTTAAAGTTTTAAACATTTAAATACTCGGGTAACCGGTTGAAGTATTAATCAGTTATTATGCTGATGTGGCGAGTGATATGGTATCCAAATCAATATTATTTTCTGATGTTGTTAGTGATATGAATTTTTTTTAATTTAAAATTAGTATTTTTTTTAAATTTAAAATTAGTTTTCAACCGATTACTTGGGTATTTAAATATTTAAAATTTTATATTTTAGATACCAAAATGAAAGTTTTGAAAATACGTTACTTAAAAATATAAATTAAATTAAAGTACGTTATTTTTTCATGTAATTTATCTTTAATAAAATCTTTAAAACGAAAAAAACAAATTTTTTTAAGGTTTCTTGTCCTAACAAATTCTCTAAAAGGTTTTATGAAAGGAAAAAATATAAAAGATAGATTTTCTTCGTATTTAGAGAGAGAAAACATAAATTAATCTTTAGAGTAAATTATGAATCTAGTCCTTATGGTTATAAGAAGAATTAGAATGGGTCCCTCAAATAAAATAATTACAAACATGGTCATTGTGGTTTTATTTTTGTTATGGATTTGGTCCCTTCATTTAACTTTGTTAACTTAGCTTTGTTAAGTCAAGTGTCTTTCTATCATTTTAAATTACTTTTGAATAAATAATCTATATAAAAAACAAATTACATGAAAAAGTAACTTACTTTAATTTGATTCTTATTTTGGTAACGTGTTTTCAAAACTTCCATTTTGGTACATAAGATGTAAAATTTTAAATATTTAAGTACTCGGGTAACCTATTGAAGCATTAACCGGTTATCATGTTGATGTGACGAGTGATGTAGTATCCAACTCAGTATTATTTGCTGACGTGGTTAGTGACATGGATTTTTTTAATCTAAAATTGGTTTTTTTTTTTATCTAAAATTAGTCTTGAACCGGTTATTCAAATACTTAAATGTTTAAAATTTATATCTTAGTTACCAAAATGAAAGTTTTAAAAGTACGTTGTAAATTATATAAATAATAAATGTAACAACTTTGCACTTTTGGATTTTCAGGTTAGAACCATATTTCGGAACCTTCATTTGAAAAATTAAGTCTTTTAGGATTAACCTTATCCAGAGTATGATTCTGAAGAGGTCGCCTGATCAACCAGAGGATTGAACAACCAGAGGCTCTGGTAATAGCTACAGAGGCTCTGGTGACAGCCATAGAGGCTCTGGAGACAGCCATAGAGGCTCTGGTGACAGCTACAGAGGCTCTGATGATAGCTACAGAGGCTCTGTTGTCTCTTCACAGAGGCTCTGGCGTCTCTTCACAGAAGCTCTGTCGTCTCTTCACAGAGACTTTGTTGTCTCTCCACAGAGGCTCTGGTGTCTCTTCACAGAAGCTCTGTTTCCTTTTTACTGAGACGTTGGTTTCCCATGATCGATCGATTTGGCACGGCAGTTGGTCTTTTTCCAGTCTTGGACGTTTTGGTTATTTTATATTTTTGGGGCTCAGCTTAGAGAAGTAAAAGCCCCTTGGGCTTGGGCCTTTAGAGGCCAGCC